GACTTCATTGCCAATGGATCACAGAGTGAGGAAACCACTGCCAGGAACAGATGTGTCATGTCTGTGGCTGTTGTTTAGTTATAGTGTGGTGACACAAGGATCAGAGTAATCTGATCCTTTTCTTACCTAACAACAATATGACAAGTAAAAGTCCTGCATTCAAAATCCTACCTCAAGTACATTGGTATTATCAGCAAAATGAAGTTAAAGTATGAACAATAAAACTACTTTCTGCATTAACAGCCCCTGTGACTGATATTAACTAAAGCTGCATGATATGGTAAAAACATATGTGTCACAAATGTAATATTCACTGAAAAAACTACTGTTAATACTGATGCATCATGTGTAAGCAACATTTTATTGTTGTAGCTGCTCGAGGTAGAGCTAGTTTGAACTACTTTATATACAGTTTTCAGTCCAGTGATTCTTAAACTAGGGGTCGGCCCCCCAAAAGGTCACTAGATATATACGAGGGGTTTTGAGATGATTATTATATTTGGAGATAATTTAACTCTTATTTGAATGAAACCAGAACTTTAGAGGTGAATTCTCTGTTTGGTGAAACTGATAACAATTCACAGATTTGTGAAACATGTAACAAGGTACTCCAACTTGACATGTCTTTTTCATGAAATACAAGGAGCCCAAAAGATTGAGAACCACTGATTTAATATATAACAATGCTTATATATATATATATATATACTGTGTAAGTAAAATAGTAATCGGTAGGTAACTCCAGCTGTCAGATAAATGTAGCACTTCAGCACTTGCCCTGAAGGTGAACTGGCACCTCTCCAGCTACCAGTCCACACTGGTGGTTTATCCTGGACTTGAACCAGACACCCACCGGTTCCCTACGGACTGAGCTACTGCCGCCCCAAAGTACCTCAAAATTGCACTTAAACAGATCTGTTCAGGAGTTGTTACAAATTCAAGTTTGTGGTGAGAATATATTTCCTCTGAGGTCATGTTGTAAAGGCTGCGAGGTGTTTCTGAAAGCAGTCCTACATGAAGTGTTTTCTTCCATTCTCAGCTCTGTCCGGGAACATGGCTGTAGGTGAGCTTAAAGCACGGCCCATAACTCTCATATACTGCTTATCCTTGGAGTACAATATTTAGATTTCAATCTGCTGGGACAGGGGTCTGCAGTCCATCAGGGTAAGTCTCACTGCTGTAAACACCGAGCTTATTTCAGGTGCTGAAAATGACTGTGGACAAAAACACAACCGCCTTGTACGGTCACAGACAAACTGAAGGTGGACGTGTGCACGAATGAACAATATGCTGTGTAAGAAAAACACAATTACCTACAGTTTGACTGATTCATTTCATATGAATTGATTTCAAAATACACTGTGATAGGTTAAAGGACTATTTTAACATTATTTGGAAATATGTTTATTTGTTTTTTTGCAGAGAGATGAGAAGATCAATAATACTCTCATACCTGCTGGCTGAATATGAGGCTACATCCAGAAGCTTGTTAACTTAGCTTAGCATAACACTTGAAACAGGAGGAAACGGCTAAAAAGTCAATTTACTTACAACTCTTAGCTCACTTATTAAGATGTTATACGTCATTTTGTGTAAAAACGACAAACTGTAGATTCATATTTACCATACAGAAGTGTGGTATCAATCTTCTCATCCAACTCGCAGCAAGAACTGTTACTTTAAGGTTTACATTTGCGGTCAGCTGAAGCACATTATAGAATCAAATAAAATGAAAAAATTGGGTGTACACTAAGTTAACTTGTCTACTTGTGCTAAATTGTTTGACATAGTCACGGTACAGTATTCATCTCTTCCTGTGTTCCTGCAATAACTTTTCATGAGGGTAAAATTATAGTTAAATCTATATATGTGTCATGTATATTTAAACGGATAATCACATGTAACTTATACAAGACAAGAAAATCTGAATTCTGAGATCACAGCTGGTCTAAAAGCAGATTGGAGTTTCTGACTCACAGTTTCACAGACAATACAGAGGCCTCTGAGGTAGCACTCACTCACTCATTGGTCACACTCTACACTTCCACATGTGCTTTTCATATTTTCACAGTGAACACCGGGTGGAACGGTGCTGTAAGGACACTGGGAAGCCAACAGGGGCCACGAGGGCTGAACTGTCAACTTATATTGTGACATTGCTCGCTCCGGTGCACATAACTGCAACTTTTGTAAGAAACATCAATATTTCTGCAACCTCAGGGACTAAAAATGTTGTCAGAAAGTAAACCAAGTGTCAAATTTTGAAACATTTTGGAGACTGGAACAAAGGCCAGCTTCACAAATAGCCAGGATAACTCCAGTCTGTTAGCTGAAGGGATTAAAAGTTGGACAAGCTCATTTTCTTTCTTGTTTGATGATCAATGAATCAATACCACTCTCATATCCACCTTCAAGCACAGAAGAGATATACAAAATTGAAAAACAATATTGTTACCTTTGGACTGGCTAGCTGTTTCCCCTTGTTTCCTGTCTTTATGCTAAGCTAAGCTTACTGTTTCCTGGCTGTAGCTTTATATTTAACAGACAGATATGAGAGTGGTCTTCTCACTAAACTCTGAACAAGGAACAATTCCTTTAATGTTACGAATGCAGTTGATCAAACTACTAACTTGTTGTATTTATTTATACTTTTTTCTGTTCATTGGTTTGTCTTATTTTATTCGTATTAGCTGCTCTTTTGAGCCCAGAGATGTTCGTTGTTGGTAGCTGGGATCAAAAGCACTTTCCCACCATCTCTACAGAAAGACTGGTGAAGATGAAATCAGCTATATTAAGCTTTACGACGGTGACTTGGGACAGTGCTGCTATAAAAGTTAGTTCAATCTTAGTTGATGAAATGTCACACAGTATGCTGTACACTGCCAGTTCAGACAGATTTAGCAACAGATACACAGACACAGAGGGAGATCTGTGAGGTAAAAGTACATTCATTTTAAATGGTGCAATCATTGCAAAGTTGTGAGTCACAAGTTAGCAACATTCGAGTCCTTACAACTTGTAACAAATTCAATAAGGAAAACCATGATAGGCTTGAACATTTCGTTATCCAGAGCGTGACATGAAAGCCTCTGCTTCAAACTGTTACATTAAACAGCCATTTCAGCCACTGCACTCATTATTCCTTATCTGTAATACAGTATTAAATAAACACAATGTCTCTTTGGTCGTGTTTTCTATTATGGGAATTGTTGAGACCAGCAGCCAGAGTCAGTAAGGAGAGTTAGTGGCTCTGAATGAATGAAGCGTCTCTTTTTTATTGCTACGGTCTCTATATGAACCCTAATTCACATTCATCCACTGTCCTTTGAGCAAAGCTCGCCACAGTTTGTGTCTCTCATGTCGCCATTACATTTGAGTCACAGCACCAAGCATCAGTCTCTCTGAAGAATAAATACTCTGGGAGGTTTAAAAAAGATGTTTTTTCTAACATTATACTTAAAGATGTGAATTCTAAAGTTATGACTATGTGACTATATTTTGGATCCAGGTAGATATAAAAAACTTATCTCTTTGCTTGTTTTACAAGACACAAGAAATTATATGAACATAAAATATTAAATAATAGAATAGGCAAATAAAAATGGATGATAAAACATTTTGTTTCATGTCATACAAACTGATCATGGACACACTACATGTAATTTCTGGCTGACGGAGTATTGTTTTCCTACAGATGTTTAGAAGAGTAATTGAATATTCTGGAAATACCTTTAGACCAGCTGTTAGGTGTTGTTAAATTACCTTTTGGATTTTTAAAATATCACCCGGTAATTATTGTTTAGAAAAATGGTTAGTTAGTCCTGTGCTGTGAAAGGTCGCAGTGGGAATTGTTTTTCTGAACCACTTCTTTGTTCCCGCATTATGTTTTGCATTCCCCCTGAACCATAAAGAAAGGCTCAGTTGATCTACGGTAGGATAATGTATTATGTAGTACAGATAAATAACTAATGGAGCTAGTTAAGCTAGCTCCATACACAGTGTTTTTATAACTGGCTGCTGCCGAGCTCAGAGAGCTGTGGTTGTGGCTGCAGACATTGCTGTGCTTTGGTATGATTATGGCTGTGATGCATTTGTTTAAAATGGGTGTAACACTAGTACACATAAGGGTTGTGTGTGTGTGCAGTGAACTGACATGGTTGTGCTGGCTGGAGTTAAGCTACTGTATTCACATCTGTCATCATCTGATAGAAGCCCTGTGGGTTTAAATCCTGTGTGGGTTAACAGTGCTTTCAGTAACACTTTATTTTGAGAGTCTGCCTACATATTTGTATTGTAACATTTCAACAGCTCATTTAACAACTGTTTTCTGATATTACACCACTGTGGTTAAGGTTTGTTTGTAAGGTTTGGGCACAAAAAATGTATGTTAAATTTACAGAAGTAAAACAGTTGAAACTAGGGCTGTACCTGACTCAGTTCGGTACAATCTTAAATATAAACTTAAATATCAGCAGTTCCTGTGGTGGAAACATGGCTTCATGAGTCTCATGTTTTAGCCTGCCTCACATTTTAATGGCTTTTTTGTCATCTGTGATGTAAAAACATCAGATTTCCACACAATAAAAGTGTGCGTCCTGCTCACAGTTCTGTTATAAATTCTCAGCATGCAACGCTGCATCTTTCCTGCCGGGCTGCAGCAGTGCTGTCAGTTGAAGAGTCAATCACAGCGGACAGCCGTAGAGGAGGCTCAACCACCTTTTGCCTGCTGTCCATTGTCACTAACACTCTTCTCCTCTCCAACACAATTAGATTTGAGGTTTGTGGACATTTTTAGACTTGCTTTGTAGTTTACAGCCTGTCATGCTGTTGCTCTGTGAACAATGATGCAGCTAAAGAACAAAAGTGCAGAGATTTGACTGACAAAATGTGAGTCGACTCTGTCTCTTCTCGACTGATTAATCAACTACTACATATACTCTACAAATAAACAAATAAACTGTATCTGTAGACAGACTATCTCTCCACTCATCTGTTCTTACCTGGAAGCAGCGATTTCTGCCTTCTGCTTGCCGATGGCTGCGGCCCTCTGAGCGCCCTCCACCGCCCGCTCCACCTTATGCTTGATCTTGGTTCCCTTCAGCTGGATCACCCTCTTCTTCATGGCCTTCACCAGCAAGTTGTTCATGTACTTTCCCTCCTCCTTCCCTCCCTCGGCGAAGGTGGTGCAGCCGTAGCCGTGTCTCTGGTTGTTCAGCCACTCGCCCTCGTACTTCAGCCCGCTGGATCTTTCGCTTATTCCATATCCCGAGCGTTTGTCGTTCTTCCACTCGCCCATGTAGACCTCTGTTGTGGTGGCGTCGATGTCGGCCTCCACTGGGGGGAAATCCTCGGCTCCGGCTAGGCTCTCATCCCCGATGCTGATGGTGGAGTTGGTGTCGCTGGCGTTGGAGCTGAGAGCTGATTCGGTCCTCAGGAAGCTGATCTTGCTCTTCTGGCTGGACAGCGAGGTACTTGAGTCAGACTTCTTCAGCTTCCCCAGCAGGGAGCCCCTGCGAAACAGGCCCTTCTTCTTGGGTTTCACGGCCTCTGGGTCCACCTGGAGAGTGAGGGCGAAGCCTCCGCGGGACGGTCCCAGCTGGGTGGGGGTGGCGACGGGTGTCTCCTCACCTGAGGCGTTAGTGGTGGTGATGACGGGGATGTCTTGCTGTAGCACGGTGCCGTTGCTGTGCTCGCTGCGAAGGGAGGTCAGGGAGGTACGAAGAGGGGAGCGGACAACTGCTGCCATGCCATACGGGACGCTCTGACGGACCCCGTAGCCGTGCCGCATCCCGCCAGTGAACTGACCCTGGAAAGTACCTGGAAACATCAGAAAAAGGGGAGTAATTCTATCCTAACTGCACCACAGACCAAACATCAACGTCAGTCTGTCAGATGGTGAGTCCACCACTTTGCTCCAGACTGAAATATGTATTCAATGGATGGCCGGGGTGTTTGGTGCAAACATTCACTGTGTCCAGGGGATGAATCCTAATGATTCTGGTGATGCTCTGACTTTTCCTCTAGTGCCATCAGGAGGTCAAAGTTCATGTGAAATCAACATCTACTGGATGGATTTGGCCAAACTTTTATACTGACCTTCATGCTGTGTAGATAGCAAATCCTGCTGTATTTGGAAATCCCCTGACGTTTCATCTAGCGCCACCAGCAGGTCAAAATCTTAATTTGTTCAATACTTTGGTTTATGAGCAAATGTTAGCATCCTAACACACTATACCTGTTTAATATTAACATGTTAGCTTTTTTTTGTTGTGAGCATGTTAGCATGCTGATGTAGCTCAAAGCAACGTTATGCCTGACACCATTGCATGGCTTTAAACGTGGCTTGCTAAAACTATGGAGCGAAAACAGTTCTCTCTATGTAAAAATAAACTTTGATTATCTTTGATATCTTTAGTGTGAAAAGTCTCATCTGATCTCTCATCTCATCTTGAGGTCTGGTCTCATGCTAAGATTGACATGTGTGTGGATTATAGTGACAGCTAGGCCTCAGACCGTGAGGCCAAGAGGGCATGGGGCTTGTGGGCTATTATTACATCCTGACATCTGGTGCTATCACATCCCCCTACTGCAACTTCCACCAGACTGGGGCACAAAGCTGATGAGTCAGCTGTTAAGCAGGGGGAACCACGGCTATTGTACGAGCACAGATCACCTACATTTATTTTATTTATCTAATGTAGGCTCCCGCTACACAGTCAAATGGATGAGCTGGGAAACATTAATGAACCAGAGAATATTTAAGGATTAAAAACTTCACTTAAAATGGTCAGGAGTGTTTGTAACCACACCGAGTCAGCTGGTGTGGAGGGATTTCATTATATCTTACTTAATGAAGCCTGTTAACCACAATCTCCTTGACGATCAATCGTGGGATATAAAGAGGTTAATTTCCTCAGGTACTGAGTTTAAAGGAACAATTTGAAGGTACTTTACTCTCCATTATATGCTACTTATTTCTTTCACTCCACTACATTTGTCTGACAGCTGGAGTTACTTTACAGATTAAAATTTAACATAAAAACATGCTCATCTGATAAAATATGATGCATTGTAATAGATTAAACTACCAAACAGTATATAAAAAGGTTAAAATAGCTCCACCTCCACTGACTATAACAGTAAAATGCAGTAATATAATATATACAGGAATAGTATAACACCCACAGGAATCTCTTCTTCTGAATTATTAGTACTTTTACTTTTGATACTTTACATTTCGCTAATAATACTTGTACTTAAGTGACATGTTTAATGCAGGACTTTTACTTGTAATGGAGTATTTTTATATTTCAGTATTGACACTTTTATTTAAATAAATGATCTGAATGCTTCCTCCACCACTGCAGAGGTCTGCAGGGGGCATTTTAATGTACATTTTCACACATATCAGCGGTGGAAAGTAACTAAGTACATTTACGCTGTACCTAAGTGAATTCTAAGGTACTTGTACTTTACTCAAGTATTTCCAGTTTCTGCTCCTTGCAGAGGCAAATACTGTACCTTCTACTCCACTACATCAACTATATACATACATGATCATCAAATAAAATATGATGCATTTTGTTTTTTTAAGTCAAATTAGATCCACCTTTACCAGCTGATGAAAACGTGAATGCATCAAGAATTAGAATCCAATAATATAATATATATATGATTCTGCATGAAGAGTACTTTTACTTTTGGTACTATATTTTGATGTTAATACTTTTATACTTTTACTTAAGTAACAAGCATGGCTTTTACTAGTATTTATTTTTAAACTTTGCTACTAACTTAAGTAAATGATCTGAGTACTTCTTCTACCACTGGTGTAATCACAGGAACTTAATGCAGAGATCAAGTGGTACATTTACTCAAGTACTATATTTAAAGGTACTTTATGCTACTTTACACACTCTAAAAATAAATCTCTTGTCTCAACAAAAAAGTTTGCATCAATCTTTTCAAGTTATGGCAACTTGTTATGTTCAACAAATGTACTACAATGAATTCGGGGAATTTACTTTTCCTCTATAATGGAAGGTATTTTTAATCACCACTTACCTAATAATTGGTAGCATAAACCCAGGTTTTTAAGTTGATTAGGCTACTCATAAAATTAACTTATTCCAACTAGTTTTTACACGTTATTTATGTCCACACAACTCATCAAAATAATGTTTGCAACTTAAAAGTTAATAATAAATCAATACATTTGAAGTTTTATCTTGCAACCATACATTCATTTAAGTGTCGACAACAGGCCCACTGAATCTTTCAGAAGGAACTAACTACATTTACTTGTAACAGAGTATTTTTACACAGTGATATTGCCATATTTATTTAAGTAAAAGCCATAAGTATTTGTGCCACCACTGCTTTTTTTTTTTTTAAAAGGTCACAATTTGTCAATCTCACCTCCATCAGCGTATGTTTCTGTTCCATATCCATCCTGAAGCCCATTATTCCACGTCCCTTCATACTTTGCTCCACTGCCAGCACTGATCCGAATCCCGTATCTGCCTTTGAAGCCATGAGTCCATTCCCCTTTGTAAATCCAGTGTCCTTTGGTTTCTACTCCCAGACCGTGACGCTTCCCCTGCGACCAGTACCCCTCGTAGGTGTTCCCGCTGGGCCAGGTGTAGACTCCCACCACCTCGAAACCGTAGTTCCAGGAGCCGGAGAACTCGCCCTGGCCTTTGGGTCCGGTGCAGATGCCATGGCCGTGGGCTTTGCCTCCCTCCCAGCCTCCGCAATAAGCTCCGCCGTCGTCAAACTCAAAGCGACCTCCACTCATGCCTCAGCCCCAACAACCGCACCCGATCAGAAAGTAAAAGCTGTGTTAGTCCGTTACCTGGCTAAAGATAAAACCTCCGTCAGTCTCACTTCACCTTCACCTGACATCAAAACTGATTGGAGATATCCTTGGTGCTCAACTTGTGGGGGTTTCGTCTTCTGCAGGTGGTTTGGGGATTTCTGAGCGTGTCCATGAAGCTCCGGGGCGCACTTCAAACTTAGATATTTTGCTTTTATTTACTTTTAAATCCTCTTTCACTCCAGTGTCGTCTTCTTAGGATTCGTCGATTTCAGCCAGTTATCCTCCAGAATGAGTTACGCAGAGTTACAAATTTTGGACATAAATCGAATTATTCTTATTATTTTTTAAGTCTTGAGAAGCCAGGGATCTTACATGGCTTTTTCCAGGTGGCCCACAGAGAAAAGCCCCTTTCCCCCCTGTGCCTGCCACCCAGCTATCTCCTGACAGTCGCTGCTGGTGGAAATATTTTAGCAGACCTAACAAGGCGACCAATCCACACACACACACCCTTCCAAAAATACAACCCAATCCTTACTCTGCTGCCTGGAAGGAACCATGCCAGAAGTCTTGCCACCTCGGGGGGCTGAAGCTGAAGTACATGCCACCCAGGACTCTGCTCTCTGTAGCCCCCCCTGCACACATATAGAAGGAACAGTTAATGCGGTCTGAACATAAATATTCTTTAACAGGCTAATGAAAGAAAAGAACAGCTTAATGAAAGAGATAACTGAAGGTATATAAATCTGTGTAAGTCCTCATTGATGTTCCTGTAGGGCCTGTGTGGTCTCATAGATCTTATCAGGATAGTATTTCCACAATAGTCCAAAAGGATATAATTACTTTATTTAACAGTATGTAAGCCTATATGTGTATCTCTTATGGTGTAGTCCTTTGATGTTATAATCATGGTATATTTTGGGATTATATATGTATATATATTGTTTTACTATAAAGGTTGAATCATAAATCCATAGAATATTGTAACTATATTATAAATAATATAGTTTGCTGGATAACTCCATGAGCATACTTGCAAAATATACAATTTACTGATAACATATCCACTCATAATTATATTTTAACTAACTAATTGAATTGACTAACAGTGGGAATTAATGTTTTTCATCATTACAGTATTGTAGACTACTCTTCACTCTCTTCACTCCCTCTGCTGGGAAATATCAGTAACCGCATTGTACATGTTTCAGTCTCTGTGAAGTGTGTTAAACTTGAGCAGCGGTGGAATAATTAAGTAAAAGCACCAATACATTAATGTAAAAATACTCAGTAACAAGTTAAAATCCTAAAGTACTATGAGCACGTAGCTATTATCAGCTGAATATACAAAATAAAATAAAATAAAAGTATAGGACTACTTGTTGGGTTAGTGAATATATTTACAGATACATGGTTCGATTGTTGTTAGATTGTAGTTCAGTTCATGAAGAGCATGTTTGAGTTTGTTAAGGTGGAGATATTACTTTAAACTAGGGCTGCACAATTAATCAAAATATTATATGGAATTCGCATTATGCAAATCAGAGAAGTTGCAATTGTTTGATAAAGGTAAAATATGTTAAATTAACAGCTTTATAATAAAGGACTGTAGTTCTGAAGAGCCTACAAATCTCCAGATTTAAGAAAAAAATTAACATCATCACAATTTAAATAGTTTTTTTCAGTGAAAATGTAATTTGTGATGCAAAAACAAATTACTTCCACACAAACTGTGAATCATATCGCAAATTTCTGTTAAAATAATCACAAAAGATCTTTTTCACAGCAGCCGTTTTGAACTGAAATAGTAGGGTAAACACAGGTGTTACCAATTGGCTCACAGGAAAGGCTCTGCTACACTAAATGGAACATGAGCCTTCATTAGAATCATCGTAACACCTGTGTTTACCCTAATTTCATGTCAAATGGCTGCTGAGAAAAAGGTCTATTTTCTACCGTATCACGCAACCCGACTTTGCTAGCAGTGGTTACACCGATTTTACACATCAGTCTCTTGTTTACAGGTCTCGAGGAGCATTAATGTTACTGCAGAAGCGCAAAAAAAATAAAAAAATAAAAAAATAAAGCTTTAACCGACGTTGACTCAAGTGATGTCACTTGAGTCAATGTCGGTTAAGGGTGAAGACACCAAATTTAGAAAATAAAAATATAAAATCTGCTGCAGGTATAGTATTAGGATACAAAAAAAGGTAACTGTAATCCATTACAGTAACATAAAAAAGTAATCAGATTACAGTTTTTCTTTAAAAATACACGAGCAGATGACACATATTTGATGCTAAAAATATTTTCCTTTTTCTTGTCAAAGGTTTCATTGTTATATTATAGAGAATAGACATGTACACTTGCATCAGTACATCTTATTAACATTTGTTTTCTCTTGTTTTTATTTTACACAGGCTATTTTTAGTTGAGGTAATTCAACAAAAAAGTAACAGAAAGTAATCAAGTTACGTTATATATAGCTAGCTCGAGTTGCATTGTGGTGCATTGTAGTCCAACAATGGTATTATCTGCTCTTATAATGGGAGAGGCTGCATTAATATATTATTTATTGCACTTTTCTCTATTATTTTGCTTTTACGTGAAGAGTTTTGCCTTATTGTGTCTTGCACAGTTATTTAAATTTAAATGTAAACATCAGAGGTTTAGAGGGGAAATCTCTGTTTGGTGGAAACATGACAAGGGGCCCGAATTATACATGTTTTTTTGTATGGAAAAAAGATTGAAAAAACACATAGAAAATGAATTGTATCTTATAATGTTATCATGTTTTTTTAATGCAAAATTATAGTACAGTAGAGTAAAGTTATATTACAGTATTTCCCATTGAAATGTAATGGAATGAAGCAGCAAAAAGTGGCACTACTCAAGTAAAAGTATTTCAAAAGGTCACTCCTGGAACTACAGACCTGCACACATGTTGCAAATATCTGCTACTTTGTTTGTTTGTTTGTTTGTTGTTGTCGCCAGTAGCACGTGCAGACACATGTAATTCCCAGACCTTAAACAATGTGGTCTTACATCCGTCCATGTCCTTACACAGAGCCGCTTGACCTTCCACTGAAACGCTCCCTGCGCGCTTTTCCACCGCGCATGTTTGTGCGTGGCCCACCGCGTGATGTAACACGGCTACACATTGATTGAACTGTAAAGTGTAACAGCATGCATGCTGGAGTAAGGTAGCTATTTGCATATGGATTAGGCTGTGTATTTATTTATTTATTTATTTATTATTTTTATATGTGTTTTCATTCCGAGGTTGGAGCCGATTTCAGCACCGGAGCTGTCCGACACTGACGGATGCTGCTGAGCACGAGCTGCTGAAAATCCTCTCTCTCTCTTTCTCTCT